ATCATATATCACATAAAGCATGTAAAACAAAAGACATAGAACATAGGGCTGCCAAGAGGAAGCCACGCAAGCCAGAAAGTTACTTGTGATGGAGAGAAAGGGGATAAAGTGGAAAGTGGCCAAGTGGCAGCAAACAGCTCTGGTCATTGTATTATTCACGAATGAACACCCTAAGGGCATGGCCAATACATAGCCCCAGGGTGATGCCTCACATGCCATGTAGGATCGGATAACAGAAAAAGCAGGTTCGGATGGGGAAGCAGGATCCTTTTCAGGAGGCGGGTGCTTAGAGACAAAAAGTATGGTCCAGTGCATAAAGTTGAAAAACTTAAAATGGAGAGGAGGGATGCATGTGTAATGAGAGTCACTTTCCATTTTTTTTGATGAGGTCACTAGTAGTAGCTTGCATTGGGGAGAAAAATCAACACATATGCTTCAAATTACTTTTTTATCATGAGGCATATGTATCCATATGCCACCATTGTACATGCCCTAATTCAACAGTACAATAGTTTCAGTAAATAATAACATTTGCATGACCAAAAAAAATCATCTTACAGTTTCCAGTACAAAACTCGCAGAACTCAAGCATGCCATACCATGGACACACTATTTGTAGGCAACAACCATAGTGAGCTACTGAGTTCACAGTGCAGTAGCCTGTCCAGCAGTGAGCTCCCTCATGATATTAGTTTTATCGGCTGATAAGGCGCAAAACCCTCAGGTGACCTCACACTGCACTAGCCTCGCCTCCGGCACTTGACTTGCTACAGGTAATAATTTACAGCTGATAATTTGCTTGTCTTTCTAGCTAGTAAGCTACCGATCGGCCAATGTTTCAACAACTTCCAAAAGGAGCGAAAGCCACCGGGGTATACTGGTTGCGGAGAGACCTTGCTGAGATGCTTAATCCGCTTCCCCGAGCCCATCACTGCCATCCCCTCTTTTGCTGATCGCAGACATACCACCACGTTTCTTGCCGCTGCCAGATGCCGCCTCCGCATTTTTCCTCAACACGGCGCCGGGTGAGGGATACGGCCTTTGTTGGAACAGAGGTCCCTGTTAATCAAAGCGTAGAAAGAAGACTCGTTATTCTCAGTAGGGGATACTATATTATTAGGGGCTGATCTATATCTGGAATCACATGCATTGTGGTTCTTTAGGGAGATCCCATGTGCGATGACTTAACAGATCAAGAGACATGGGAACTGTGCACTGAAGTACAAACTAACAGTAATTAACAAGCGCTACCCAGTTTCCTTGGCTCAAGTAACCATGCTACATGGAAGCCTGATTCTAACATCTCAAATAAGACGTCCTAGATCATTTCATTTGGCAGTCCTACATCATTTGGCACGATGAAGGTGGAGCAGGCGGTAAGGTTTGCTCTCAGAAAAACAGTATGTTATGCTACATCGGGTGTCTATGCACCGAAATAAATACTTAACATTTAAATGGAAGTCAGAGGGTACACAAGTATAGTCAAGACTAGATAGAGGGAAGTTGCAAATCAGATGACGTACAGATGCAGTTGTATCCGCTGCTCGCGGCTGTACACCCTTCAGGCCAACAACCCTGACAAAGAAAGAGGATTAAGTTGTTAGTCCAGGGACAGTTAACTTAATATACCTGCATTCTTCCTTGATTGGCCAAGCTAGACTGAAGCACATCGCAACTAGTAACCACAACTGCCAGGAAGATTATAAATTTAACTGAAATAATAAGCTTCCAGGAAGAGAGAGATCATGTACCAGCCACCCCGTGGAGCATCTGAGTAAGAGCTTGGATCCATTGGGTCAAGCTCATCCTCCTCAGCACGACCTCTTTTTCGGTTATCTTTTTTGTTTGCTTTACCTGAAGGGGGTTTTGAATTTGATCTGCACATATATGACACTCAGTAAATAATATGATGCTTGTGTGCTCAAGTATATGATGGGTGGAAATAGGTTAGCAGTATAAACTAGAAGCATAACCGATTAGGCTACCATTTGATGTGTCAAATGCAAATCTCATTTACCTGTCCTTAGCTGCGATGTTTCCTTGACTTTTGGGAACATTGGTACAACTTGAGGGCACGATATTGTTCGAGTAAGACGGATACTGTTGAAAAGGCAGATTTTGAACCCTGCAACATGAATCACAAGCCAACATTAGCTAGATTTCTTAAATTGTTTATTTGTCACATTTGGCAAGTGTATTGGTTGTTATACTATAATATATACACAGAAAATGGAAACTATGTAGCCGTTGTGTTGTATCATCTGAAAATGAAAATTGGTTCAGGCTTGGCTTTTGCTCGCCATAGTCGCCGTCAAAATATACACAGAAAACAGACATAAGTCAGATCTGATGTTTGATTACAAGTGCATCTGCGATGATATAGCTATTAGTTTGAAAATGCATATGAATCCAAAGTATGTGTGCTTTCAGATAAGATCATGCCATCCACACGATAGAGATAACTCCCACAAGAACTTCAGGATATTTACTCTACCTTACAAGATTAGATTATCAGCAGAGTACCTTGTGCAGTGATTGCAATATCCCCACGGCTGGACAAGACCGACTCCCCAGCCACCACAGCCTGAACATCTTTGTATGTGAGGGTTCCAAAGATCAGTATTTTGAGTGGTCGGCTGAACTGCAACAACGGTGGATGCTTGTGGCACAATAACTGGGTTCACAGAAGTAGGTGGCTCCCACTGTGTTGCCTGTGTCTTTGTGTTATAGTAGTATTTCTGGCCTAAAATAATGCACAAACCATATCAATGTGTCACCAAGAAAGTACTCCTTCCGTTGAGAAATATGTGGGGTTTTAGAAAGCACATAGACAAACTTCTCTAACTTTGACTACTAACACATCTATCAAAATGGCAGTAATAGATCTGTCACAAAATTATTTTCATGACATGACAACTTATAATATCATACTGTGTATTCATATGAAAAGGAAAAGTTATTCAAATAGCATCATATATTGTTGACGAGCATGATTTAAGCCACAGGTGTTTCTCTGGCCAAATGACGGTTGAATTTTACTTAAGCTGCATATTATATGTAACAAGTCAGCTTGAAATTTATAAAATTTGTGTCTTAACTTGTTTTCGTCCTTGGAATAGCAGAAGATTTGTTTTGGAATATTCCAAGAGTTCAGAGACAAAACAGTGACATATTTCATTCTAACAAATATGTTGAACTAAAACTACGACAAGTATTTTGGAACGGAGGGAGTGGTTAATACAATAATAATAATAATAATACAACACCTGTTGATTTGTCAAGTGCCTCCTCCCAATTTTCTGGCAATGATGGAGCAGCTTGATGCTGCACGGTATTCACGGTACCACCGGGACGATCCCATTGGGTTACTCCGGTGCTTTGGTTGTAGAAATAAGAAGCACCAGTCGTTGGATCCTTCGTCTCGGCCTAAAATAAAATAAGTTAATGCAGGGGAAAGAACTGTTGCTACTATCAACTCACCATAGATATAGCAAATATACAGCACAGCTGTTGAAAGATACCACATATACTTGCATGTCGAGGTTAGCAAATGAGAAGTAATAAACTGATGTCTCCAGATACACGTTTGTTAAATAACAAATGTACTGTAAATTGACCGAGAAAATTAGGGAGGCTATGCGCATCAGCTAGAAAAATTATTAACCACCTCACAGGAACATGTATGTACAAGAAAAGATTAGCATATACTCACCCAACCAGGAGGCAAATCTTGGGCAGATTTGTTGTGGCCTTCTTGAGAATTTGCCTGGAATCAGTGGTACAAGCACAAAGTGAATGCATGAGATAAGGATCAACTTGTGCATTTGGATTCTCAGAAGAGAAGTTTATACTGCTTAATACCAAAGACAGAAGGCAAGTTTTTATGTGTTTCAATAGACCAATAAAAGAAATATATCACTGTTGGTACAAAATAGCAAATTTCCAATAAATTTTTTGAATTCATTTATAGGTGGCAGTGTAGTCAGAATATTTTTATTTGCCACATAACTTTGGTATTTCTATGTCTTTACATTTTCTCTCCATCTAAGTGACTCGTGCACACAGACCCAACATGACATCAATTGTTTTCTGTCTATAATTGAATAATACTAAGATGGTGCTAGTACTAGTTCGAGGTTTTTCCATCTGACAGCATTCAGTTTGTAACATCCATGCATCCTTTCTACCAGAAAGAGAAGGAAAGTAAATGTAACATAAAGAAAAAGTTACGATTGTAAGTTACATTTTGTTTAGCCATGATGTTATCATTTGCTTCCTTGTCTTTAAGAATTCCCCTTGCTTTTAACCTCTGCTTCAGAAACTCGGGGAGACCGTCATCACCTTCTGCTTTCTCAGCATAATCTTTTGGTTTATCTAAAGGAAAAAAACATTATTTGGCATAGTTGAAAGCAGCAGGTAATATAGAGAAAAGAGGCATGTAATACCACTAAACAGTGAGTAACTCAGAAAGAGGTGGCATACTCATTTGAGCACTTGACAAATTTCCAGCATAATAAGCACCACCTCCTGGTACACCATAGCCATTGCCAATCTCAACATTGCCTGTGAGCATGCTTAATCATCAGCTTTAGCAAAGAGCTGCCTCACTTTGACAATGTAACCAACAATGTGTTATACAGAACAGGTACGTAACATAAGGAAATGACACCAAAATGTTAACACAAAATAAAACTGAGACTAATTCTCGATAGAATTAAAAATACTAATCACTGGATTAAAGAGGTACTTACACACTTTAGAAGTGTGAAACTGAAAAGAAGAGGAGAATAAAAATAGACAAATAGAGTATTAATATGGAAGAATAATGACCATTATCTGGATGAAGTGACTTTCCCCTTTTATTTGCCATCTCTGCACGATGGTCAACCGTCATCTTCAGCAAGTGTTCCTAAATAATCAAGATAACAAAGCTGAACTAACTAAAGAAATTCAAATTTCAATGAAGACCAAATTTAGGAGAAAATGACACAAAAAAAGGATTATAAATTACTCACCTTCAGTGCATTAGGGTCGCGCCGGCTCGAAAGTATGTCTTCCCCATATTCTGCGGGGTCGTTTGTTGATTTTGCTTGCCTAAATGAAAATGTGCACAGAAAACAGCTTCGTCAAGCAGCGGCGGACAAGCAGCACAGAAGGAAACGGTGGAGAAACAAACCTTTGATTTTGTATTACTTGCTGCGTCTCAATGTCCTGGTTATCATATAGACAGCCAAACAGCCAGTTAAAAACAGAAACGTAAGTGCAGGTACAGTCTAGTTCTTCTGGAGGATATATGAATACCTGTTCGTGAAGAACAGCCTCTTGCACAGCAGATTCGATGTTTGCCGCACTTCCATTGTGGTTAGCAACCACATGAGCGCTCTGATGGCCATTGAGATCTGGTTGTCCATTCCCAGCTTCTGCGGTAACACTAGGAGTACTTTGAGCGGGAGCAAAAGGCATGTTAGGCTGTGTAGCATAGAAGGGGCCTGCTGTATTTTGATTGCTGCCATTATTGGGTCTGGTGTCGTATGGTGTTGGATAAGCATGTCGATGTGGACTAGGATGAAAATGTTGTGTTGCATAGTACATGTTTGCTCCATTTTGATTGTTACCACCATTGGGTCTGGTATCATATGGTGCTGGATAAGCATGTGGGCGTGGGGTAGGTTGAAATTGTGGAGGATGCTGAAATTGTGGAGGAGGATTTGGAGGTGGCGGCTGCCATGCTCCAACACCAGGAGGTAATGGCTGACTCTGAGAGTTGTCCATCGGTACGCAGCAGGTAAAGTTGATGCGTGACTTCCCAAATCTCCACCAGCTTAAGTTCGCTAAACAGATCTGCAACACAATGCAATCAGTGTAGCAACATCAGCACACAATTAGCTTCACAGCAATTGCCATTTGGTATTGAAATCGAACTCATGTGTTTCTATGGACCCATACAATCCTAATGTAAATGTAGGAGTATACAATTAGAGAGTGTTCAGTTCATGTACTGACACTGTCAGGCCTATTGCAAGCTTGCTTCACTGCATAATTTCTTTACATCTTTGATTTACTTTTTATCCGTGCACATTGAAACCTATGAACAGAAACCGCACCTGCGCCGATATCACCACGTCTAAGTTACTATTAATCTGTCCCAAAACATAAACCCTAACACCCAAATTCACGAAGATGCAGAGAAAATCAACAGGGCTGTTAGGCTTGTCACCACACCTAATTATATGATGACGATACCAAACGCAATAATCATATATTAGAGCCCAAAACCGCCTCTGTAGGATGCCTGCGCGTCTTTGAGCGCCTGGAGCTCGTAGCTAGGGCGCAACTACACGATTCCCAGCGGTCAAAGTGTTGGAAGGTTCGAGTAAACACGGAGATCGAACGGGCGAGGAGGAGGGAAGGGGAGAGGGCGTACCTTTTCACCGGCGAACTGCGCGGCGGCCGCGTGCCTCCGGTGCCGAGCGGGCGACGGCCGGCGGTGGGGGAGGGATAGAAAAGGGCACGACGGGTCGGGTGTTGTTCCTGCCGCGAGCCGGTAGCCGGTAGACGGTTCCCTACGGTTTTCTCTGCCGTCAGATCACGGCCGCTGCTTGGTTCAACGGCCAAGATGGCTTAGCGTTTGCGAGGTAAGAGCATCTCTAGCAGATCTTGTATAACTATGGTGAAGTGCATTTTTCCGGCAGTTTTATGAGATGGCCCAAAAAGACGGCTCGAGCAGGTCCGCTAAAAAAGAAACCCGGCCCGTAAATTGTTTGTGGGAGGCACACAAACCGCCCGCGGTTTCGGTATATATACCGGATCCGGAACGATTTAGGGTTCACATCCCGCTTTTCCACCATCTGCCTCCGCCGCGATTCCCCTACTTCGACAAAAACTCCAGCTGTGATTTGCGCCGCGTTTAACCATCGAAAGTTGCTGGAGATGGCGTCAACGGGTGCCGAGCGTGGTGGCCGTGAGGGGTTCGGAAGGCTCGGCGGTGACCCGTCCCACAAGCGACGCAAATGATGCGAAGGACGGGAGCTCCTCCCTCTGCCCGTCGGTGGACGAACGACGGAGGGAGCAGGCACGGACCCGTGGCGCCCACTCCCGCAGCACCGACACTTGGGCGTGGGAGAATTTCAATCGCCTCAACCGCATCTTCTCCCCCGTGCTCAAGCGTCTCCGGGAGGCGGAGAAGGCGTGGTGGGAGGCCAAGGAGGTCGCCGCCGCCGGAGACGAAGCTGCGACCACGCGCATGATACGTCTCCAACGTATCTATAATTTTTTATTGTTTCATGCTATTATATTATCTGTTTTGGATGTTTAATGGGCTTTAATATGCATTTTTATATTATTTTGGGGACTAACCTATTAATCGGAGGCCCAGTGCCAATTTCTGTTTTTTTGCCTATTTTAGTATTTCGTAGAAAATGAATATCAAACGAAATCCAAATGAAACGAAACCTTCGCGAGGATCTTTCTTGGAACAAACGCAAACCAGGAGACTTGGAATGGAAGTCTGGAACTCCGCGAAGCTTCCACGAGGCAGGAGGGCGCGCCCAGGAGGGTAGGCGCGCCCCCCACCCTCGTGGGCCCCACGGAGCTCCACCGACGCACTTCTTCCACCTATATATATTCTTATACCCTAAAAACATCGGGGGGGCACGAAACCACTTTTCCACCGCCGCAACCTTCCGTACCCGTTAGATCCCATCTGGGGCCTTTTCCGGTGATCTGCCAAAGGGGGATTCGATCATGGAGGGCTTCTACATCAACAACATAGCCTCTCCGATGATGTGTGAGTAGTTTACCACAGACCTTCGGGTCCATAGTTATTAGCTAGATGGCTTCTTCTCTCTCTTTAGTTCTCAATACAAAGTTCTCCTCGATGTTCTTGGAGATCTATTCAATGTAATACTTTTTGCGGTGTGTTTGCCGAGATCCGATGTATTGTGGATTTATGATCAAGTTTATCTATGAACAATATTTGGTTCTTCTCTGAATTCGTATATGCATGATTTGATATCTTTGCAAGTCTCTTCGAATTGTCGGTTTAGTTTGGCCTACTAGATTGATCTTTCTTGCAATGGGAGAAGTTCTTAGCTTTGGGTTCAATCTTGCGGTGTACTTTCCCAGTGACAATAGGGGCAGCAATGCACGTATTGTATTATTGCCATCGCGGATAAAAAGATGGGGTTTATATCATATTGCTTGAGTTTATCCCTCTACATCATGTCATCTTGCCTAAAGCGTTACTCTGTTCTTATGAACTTAATACTCTAGATGCATGCTGGATAGCGGTCGATGTGTGGAGTAATAGTAGTAGATGTAGAATCATTTCGGTCTACTTAACACGGACATGATGCCTATATTTTATAATCATTGCCTAGGTATTCTCATAACTATGTGCTCTTTTATCAATTGCTCGGCAGTAATTTGTTCACCCACCGTAATACTTGTTATCATGAGAGAAGCCACTAGTGAAACCTATGGCCCCCGGGTCTCTTTCCTATTATATTGCATCTCTTTTATTTACATTGCATCTTGTTACTATTTTGTTATCTATACAACAAAAATATCAAAGATATTTACCTTACTACCTTTATCATATCTCACTTTCGCAAGTGACCATGAAGGGATTGACAACCCCTTTATCGCGTTGGTTGCGAGGTTCTTGATTGTTTGTGCAGGTACTAGGTGACTTGCGTGTTATTTCCTACTGGATTGATACCTTGGTTCTCAAAACCTGAGGGAAATACCTATACTATTTTGTTGCATCACCCTTTCCTCTTCAAGGGAAAACCAACGCATGCTCAAGATGTAGCAAGAAGGATTTCTGGCGCTATTGCCGGGGAGATCTACGCTCAAGTCAAGACATACCAAGTACCCATCATAAACTCTTCTCCCTCGCATTACATTATTTGGCATTTTCCTCTCGTTTTCCTATCCCCCACTTCATCCTTGTCATTTTATTCGCCCTTTTCCGTTCGCCTCTTTTCGCTTGCCTCTTGTGTGCCTGTTTGCCCTGATGGTCTTGCCTAAAAGCGTTGATCCTCACCTTAGAAGGTTGAAAGAAATGGAGAACAACGTTAGAAGCTTTATGTCTTTGCAATTTGAGCATAATAATTTCTTCAGAAACGAGCTTAAAGAACAAAAAAATTATGGAGTACATGAATAAAGAGTTCGATGATATGTCTAAAGAATTTTATGGCTTGAAATCTCGGTTTGCTCATCTTGAAAATTTAGTAGGTCAAATTTCGGATAAGCAAGCCACCTTAGTTAATAAGATGGCCGCTAAACTCGAGGATCTACATGATAATAATGATGAACATCTAAAAGTGATTGATGTGTCTCATATTAAATCTTTGCTTTTCAATATGAATCTTGATAAAGATGAGACTGGAGATGAGTCAACTTTAGTTAAAAGGTGTCCCAATGATTCAGAGTTTTTAGATCTTGATAATAAAAGTGGGATTGGAGAGGTCAAAATTTTACTTAGCGATGAACCCAGTATTTTAGATTTCAAGGAATTTAATTATGATAATTGTTCTTTGATAGATTGTATTTCCTTGTTGCAATCCGTGTTAAATTCTCCTCATGCTTATGATCAAAATAAAGCTTTTACTAAACATATCGTTGATGCTTTAATGCAATCTTATGAAGAAAATCTTGAACTAGAAGTTTCTATCCCTAGAAAACATTATGATGAGTGGGAACCTACTATTAAAATTAAGATTAAATATTATGAATGCTATGCTTTGTGTGATTTGGGTGCTAGTGTTTCCACGATTCCCAAAACTTTGTGTGATGTGTTAGGTTTCCGCGAATTTGATGATTGTTCTTTAAATTTGCACCTTGCAGATTCCACCATTAAGAAACCGATGACCCACAAGTATGGGGGATCTATCATAGTCCTTTCGATAAGTAAGAGTGTCGAACCCAATGAGGAGCAGAAGGAAATGATAAGCAGTTTTCAGTAAGGTATTCTCTGCAAGCACTAAAATTATCGGTAACAAATAGTTTTGTGATAAGGTAATTTGTAACAAGTAACATGTAATAAAAGTAAATAAGGTGCAGCAAGATGGCCCAATCCTTTTTGTAGCAAAGGACAAGCCTGGACAAACTCTTATATAAAGGAAAGCACTCCCGAGGACACAGGGAATTATCGTCAAGCTAGTTTTCATCACGCTCATATGATTCGCGTTTGGTACTTTGATAATTTGATATGTGGGTGGACCGGTGATACGTCTCCAACGTATATATAATTTTTGGTTGCTCCATGCTATATTATCTACTGTTTTGGGCATTATCGGGCTTTATTATCCACTTTTATGTATTACTTTCGGGACTAACCTATTAACCGGAGGCCTAGCCCAGATTTGCTGTTTTATGCCTATTTCAGTGTTTCGAAGAAAAGGAATATCAAACGGAGTCGAAACGGAACGAAATCAACTGGAGAAGTTATTTTTGGAAGAAAACCTACCGGATAGACTTGGACCCTACATCAAAAGATGAAGGAGGAGCTCACGAGGGTAGGGGCGCGCCCCCTGCCTCGTAGCCCCCCCTTCGGTCCACCGACATACTCCTTTCACCCATATATATATATACGTAACCTAAAACTTCCAGAACGGAGAATAGATCGGGAGTTCCGCCGCCAGAAGCCTCCGTAGCCACCGAAAACCAATCTAGACCCGTTCCGGCACCCTGCCGGAGGGGCTAATCCTTCCCCGGTGGCCATCTTCATCATCCCGGCGCTCTCCATGATGAGGAGGGAGTAGTTCTCC